AGCAAGCACTCGGCATGAGCAGGGATGGGGATGAGAACACTGGAGGGAGAGAAGCAGCCAGTGCCCAGGGGAAGCACACAGGCAAGTTTGAGGAAGACCAAGGAGGTCAGTGCTCTCAAGCAAGGGAGGGGGGCGGGTACAGGAGAGGAAGTTATACACTACCCAGGGACCAGGTCAAAAGAGTCCCAGAGTTCACTGTAAAAATTTTTCCTCTTCTGCAAACAGGAAGCCAACAGAGGGTTTGAGCAGAGAAGAGCCATCATCTGACCTTTGTTTTTAAAGAACCACTGCTGAGAATGGGTTGCAAGGACAGAAGCAGGGAGGCCAGTTCCGAGGCTGTTGCAGTAATCCAAGCGAGAGAGTGGACGATGGAAATGGGGAGGAGGAAGCTTCTGGGTAAATTCCTAAGGTAGAATCAACAGGATTTGCTAATGGATTGGAGTGGGAAAGAAAAGAGAGTGAAGATGAACACATAGTTTTAGGGTCTTGCCAACAATGGAAATAGGAAAGGCTGTGGGAAAAACAAGTTTGGGGATAAAGCAGGAATTCTGTTCTGGCCACCCTGAGGTGGCCACAGGAGACATCCAGGTGGAGACAGGAGGACGTAGTTGGACATACAAGCATGGAGCTGAGGAAAAAAGTCAGAACTAGAGAAATAAATGTGAGACTCAGCAGAATATTAATAGTACCTGAAGCCATGAGATTAGATGACATCACTGAGGGAGTGAGAGTCTACAGAAAAGATCAAGGACTGAGCCCCATGGCCCTCCAAAAATCAAGGAGACGAAGAACCAGCAAAGGAAAGTGAAAAGGAATGGCCAGTGAGCAAGGAGAAGAACGAGCAAGTGTACAAAAACTTGAATATGAACATGCTTTCTATTGTCCATCAATAACAGCAAAGGGCATGAAGGCAAAGTTCAGCGAAAGCACTTCTTCGAGAAGCTATAGCACAGCAGGCCAGGTGTTTAGCTTCTGGCCAATTCTGGCTTGATTACCAAGAGCCGTCAGCACCGAGGGAGGGTAGTGAAGGGAAAGCCAGAGCAGGTCACCGCCTAGAGGTCAGGAGAGCACAGATGGGCACACACTCCTGGCCCGAGGAGTGCATCAGAGTTTGCAGAGTGACCTGGGTCAGATGCCAACGTAGCTCATTGGAAAATTCTAACTCCAAACCCAAAGTCAGTGTGCAGTCCCTTCCTGAGCTGTCCTGCCCACGTGCCCATCATACCATTGCCTCCTGCCAGTTTAATCCCACTCAGTCCTGGGCCTGCACCGTAGACCCCAGAGCACACCACGAGCCCCTTCTTCATTAGTGAAAGGGCCCCGACAGAGTCTCTTGCCTAGACTCTGAGTACAGGGGCCAGAGACCCCAGCGACCCCTGAGCGTGCACACCTGTTAGTGAGAACAACAAGGGAGACAAAGGGCACAGAAAGGGGGCTACTCGGCTTTCCTCCTCTCTCTGCACACTTCATATACATTTTAGGGGCCTCTTAAAATGTCTGAATGCACCAAGTAAGCATACTCTAAGTATTTATATCTAACCTCATTCCAAAAAGGGCTTCAGGCAACTTTCCAAATTAGACTGAACTATATTTACCTTAATTTTAAAAACAGAAGAAAAACATCAAATGCAGAACAAGGGAAAATATAATGGAACAGTAAACAACGTCTAAAATAGTTAGGAAAAATGACAATTATGAAGCTGCACATGATTGTTTAACAGTAGGATACACAATTGGCCAAAGCAATAAGGAAATCACCGTCTCATACGAGACTCGTATCATTCAGTAAATCAAAATCTTCCAATATTAGGGCCTAGGGGAACTTTTCTAATGCCTCCTCATAAAAGGGCCACTGAGAGACGTGAAAGAGATGCACTGTGTTAGGGCTTCCTGTGGCCATTCCTTAAACCATTTCCTATCCTTCAATAATGCGAGCTCAGGATATAACACATGCCAACTTGATAAGAGAAATTAAAGGGAAAGGAAAAGCAGCATCACAACTACCCAATATTTGGATGGGACTGGTGTGTAAAATCCTTTAGAATTTCATAAATGGACACTATTTCTCAAAAACGAGTTTTCCTTTATACTTGGGACCAATTAAGTGTTAGCCATTAAGGACTGCTCTACTTACCTTAAAAGCCAACCAATTATAGTTAATGATACTGTGTTATATGAAAGTTGCAGAGAGTACGTCTTAAAAGTTCTCATCACACCAAAAGACCCATGAAAAGATCCTCAACATCACTCATCATCAGGGAAATACAAATCAAAACCACAATGAGATATCACCTACACCTGTCAGAATGGTAAAATCAACAACACAAGAAACAACAGGTGTTGGCGAGGATGCGGAGAAAGGGGAACCCTCTTGAACTGCTGGTGGGAATGCAAGCTGGTGCAGCCACTCTGGAAGACAGGATGGTGGTTCCTCAAAAAGTTAAAAATAGAACTACCCTACGACCCAGCAATTGCACTAGTAGGTATTTATCCAAAGGATACAAAAATGCTCATTCAAAGGGGCACATGCACCCCAATGTTTTATAGCAGCATTATCTACAATAGCCAAATTATGGAAGCAGCCCAAGTGTCCATGCACAGATGAAGGGATAAAGAAAATGGGTACATACACACAACACAATATTACTCAGCCATAAAAAAGAATGAAATCTTGGCATTTGTAACAATACAGATGGAGCTACAGAGTATAATGCTAAGTGAAGTGTCAGAGAAAGACGAATATGATTTCACTCATATGACAGATGGTTACCCAAGGGGAGGTGGGCAGAGCGATGGGTGAAAGAGGTGATGGGGACTAAAAAGTATATTTATCATGACGAGCACTTAAGTCATGTATAGGATTGTTGAATCCCTATATTGTACACCTGAGACTATTCTAACACTGTATGTTAGCTAACTAGAATTAAAATAAAAAACTCTAATAAAAAAATAAAAGTTCTCATCATAATGAAAAAAAATTTGTAACTGTGTGGTGATGGATGTTAACTAGACTTATTGTGGTGATCATTGCAAAATATGCAAATATTGAATCATTACATTATAAAGCTAAAATTAACATAATGTTTATGTCAATTATATCTGTTTTTAAAAAATAAGCCAATCAGAAGAAATCTCAGCATTCTTATAAAAATTACAGAAACTAAGGATACCTGGGTGGCTCAGTTGGTTAAGCAGCCGACTCTTGATTTAGGCTCAGGTCATGATCTCAGGGTCATGAGACTGAGCTCCGCGTGTGACTCTGTGCTCACCAGAGATCCTCTCACTCTCTCCCTCGCCTTCTGGCCCTCCTCCCACTCATGCACACACTCTAAAGTAAATAAATCTCTTTATTTTATTTTAATTCAGTTAATTAACATACAGTGTATTTTTGCTTCAGAGGTAGAGGTCAGGGATTCATCAGTTGCATACAACACCCAGTGCTCATTATATCAAGTGTCCTCCTTAATGCCCATCACCCAGTTACCCCTTCCCCCACCCACCTCCCCTCCAGCGACACTGTTTGTTTCCTATAGTTAAGAGTCTCTTACGGTTTGACGAAATCAGAGAGGGAGACAAATCATAATAGCCTCTTAACTATAGGAAATAAATCTTAAAAAATAAATAAATAAATTATGCAAGACTCTTGCCTAAACAGATGGTCCCCACTCCACAAAAGGCTGTGAGGGTGAAACTCTAAGAATAGCCAAGATTCCCTGTTTGCCCCCCAAAAAGGGTTCTGAATCTCCCCAACATGCATACAGGAGAATAACCACTCAAGGCACTGAAGTTTTATACCTCACAGTAAGTGCAATTGCAATTTGCCATCTTTCTTCAAAGGGTTCTGATTTTGTCCATTGTCAACACTAAGACAGAAATTCCCCAGTAAGGATATTAGCAACAGCTCAGCAATTTCACTTTTGAAAGAAAAATACCAGGACAGATTCACTAAGCCCTAATAAATTTTAGTTTTTCCAAAAGGCTCATCTCTATCATTCTCTTTACAGTGTCATCCACCTTTGAGTGGCTGCCAAAACCATATTAACTCAGGCAATTAAACAAAAGACAATCGACCAATACGACAGCAATAACACATAGAAAATCAAGAAACAAAGGTCAAGAGAGTAAGAAGAGTAACTTCTTGTTTAAATTCAGATCTAGACCCTTAAGAAAAAATGAGTGGAAAGTTACTAACTTGTGGGTACAGCTCTGCAACTCATAAAAGATTAATCAGTCCTGTATAAAAATAAGACCTGTTTTCCATATGTAGGCAGATTTCTGAAGCATAACTTCTTCAAAACAACCCCCAAAATACAGATGTAATCAATCTAAATGCTGGTTCTGATTCAGCATACAGGCCCTTAAACCTCTTAGAATTAAATATAGTTCTCCATCGTGGCAGACTATGTTGTTTCAATTATCTGCAGCCCTCCCTATAAAAGGAATAGACTTCCCATTTTCATGTGACTCGTAGTGTCTCCCGATGGAAGAATTAATTACATTTCCCTACCCTGCTGTTGGTCGGCTTAGCCATGTGACTTGCCATAGCCCACTGAATGCGAGAAGTCACATATAAACAGGAGCATTAACAGCCACGAATGGACTGGTCATTCCCTTTCTCACCCTCTGCCATGTCCCAGAGTGGGGTGGCTCGTTCAACCCGGATCTGGAGCTAGACTAGAGAAGACCTCTGGAGTAGAACCACAGCTGCCGCGTAATGTGAACCAGAAATTAAAATGTTGTTTTAGGTCACTGAGCATCATGTAGCCTAAGGTGAGAGATGAAGCCATCACTTCTTTTTAAAAAAAAAATGTTTTAATGATCAATGGAATAATTGATACCCAGGGCAACCTAATGAATGCAGAAAAACAGGTAGGTCTTACCGCCAGTGAATTTCCATGCTAACCATCTGCATAACATACAAAATAAACTGAAAATTTTTCTAATTCAAGTTTTTACCTTATAAATATGTGCTTTAGAAAGAGAGAGAAAACTTAAGTTACCTGTTTGACCTTTAGAAGACCTTGTGGAGAACAATGGTAGGTTCAAAGAAGATAAGGTTCAACAGCTCACCATTCCATAGACATGTAATTAACCTCTAGCTGATGGGGGATAAAACAAGAATCAAGGTTATAAACTTAACCGGCAAACCGGTCTCCCAGCAAAACAAGGAAATGTAATTGGGATTTTATGGGATGTAGAAATCAAGCCCAAAAAAGGCCAGGTTCATTTTAGCTTTTTAGTATTAGTCTCTGCCCGGAAATCTTACCAATATGAATATTCTGATGGTGCGGATAGTTTTTTAAGTGAGCAATTTAAAAATAACTTGATGAAAATTACTAGATCTCTCAAACTTTTTTCTAGAAGCCAAAGAAAAACAATGCTTAAAGACTCTTCTCATAGCTACTCTGATGAAAATATACAGCAATTCATTTCAAAACTTCACTGCTGAAGGAAAAATTCAGCACCATCTCAAATTCGTGATGGGGTTTTGGCAAGCTGGATGCCCAGAGAAACTCCTAACACTTACTAGGACTAAGCTGACCCAAGAGAGTGGGAGAGAGATAATGCTATACTCTTCCCTGCAAAGCCCTGAATCTGGGGGGCCATGGTTCCCTCTATCATGGTTAGCAAGCCCACAGTAGTTATGAGGAAGGCTATTCTCATTGCTAAGTTCAAATCAAGTTAGGAACACTATTTCCTACAATTGGACAGAAAATTAGATCCAGAAGATGTGAATCTTCATGCATTAGGGAAACTATTCCATAATTCCCAAATGATACAAGGTAACAGCTCCCTTTGCAAGGCTAGTTTGTGAGAGAGCTTGGTAAAGCTTAGCTCAGGAAGACTTTGCAAAATATCAGGGTCAAGCTGCTGGGGTGTCCATTTGGAAGCAAACACAAGAGTCTGGTTGGTTGTGAGGTAGCAAAGAATTTCCTGGGGACTCTTCTTCCCTGCTCCAAATTAGGGCTAAAAAAGACCTGAGGGAGCAGACATTCAGCAGGAGAACACGTGATAGGATGGCGACCATTTTCTTCCCACACACATTTCCCTTTTAGAAAAATCCACCCATCCTTACCCTTGGCTACTCTGTGTTTCCTACACAATCCCAGCCTCCCTGGCCACAGCCAACGGGATCACAAAATGATTCCGAGCTCCAGGGAGGAAAAAAAAAAAAAAAGAGGCACAGGCTAAGCCTTGCTGATGGGAGAGTGGGCTAGAGCAGCAAGACTGGAGATAGGAAGGGCTGAGCTGCCAATTTTCTACCACATGGGAGCTGAAGCAGAGAAAGGTAATCTGTAGAGAAAAGCCAAAGTATGGTACAAATGCTGGAGACAAGATACCATGAGTGCCAGGTACCAGGAACCAACTTCAGGTCCTAACTCCTAGGAGGACTGGCTGGGTTGGTTTCCCAACCAACTCCTTGTTGATGATGGTTTGTCTAAGCCAGTTTAAATGAGTTTCTCTTTTTACACAGCCAGTAAGCCTAACTGTTTTATTATAAATCCTGGCTTATTTATTTTTAAATGTTTGATCTTAATAAACTTTTAAAATTAGGGACTAACACACATACAGTAAAATTATAAATCTTAAATATTTATCATGAGGAATCCTTACAAATGAACATACTCATGTCATCAGCAACTAGGTCAAAGATAGAAAACCTCATCAGGACCCCCAGAAGACCCCCATGTCCTTTCCCAGTCAATATACCCCTGACCCCAGCCCCCCTGCCCTATTCTTCTATTCACCAGTGATTATTCTTCCCCCCTTTTGAGCTTCATATAAAAGAAATCATACAATATGTACACTTTTGGCTTCTTTTACTCAATATAATATCTATAATATTACTCAATATAATGTCTCAATATTCATGTTTTTCTGTGCAGCACTACTGTGTTTTTTTTATTGCTGTGCAATATTTCATGCATGAATCCTGCCATTCACGTGCATTTGGACTATTTCTCTGAGGTTCCTATCATTCCGTTACGAGAGGTCTTGCAAATGCTTCTAGTGCACGTATGTGCTCATTCCTGTCGGGCATATATATCTAGGAGTATAATTACTGAATCATAAGCTAGGTATTTGTCCAGCTTCGGAAGTAAGTCCAAAGTGATTAAACCCAATTTATACTTCCACCAGCAGTTAATGAGAGTTTGAGTTTTTCCTATCTCTACTAATATTTGGTTATCAGGGTCGGTTTGTTTTTTTAATTTGAGCCATTTGAATATGTGTTGGTATTTTATAGAAGTTTTAATGTGCATTTTCCTGATGACTGGTGATGTTGAATGCCCTTCTGATTCGTAGCTGGTCCTGACATACTCTGGACAAGCTGCTTATTGAATATATGACAAATATCTCCTACTTTGTGACCTGCCTTTCCACCCTTCATTTATACTGCTAAATGAAAGTTCTTAATTTTAATGAACACAAGAAAAGGCAAAACAGTGCGTGTTGCTGCGAGAAAAAGACCCAACCTCTGGGTCCACATAGTCACTGATTTAAGAAAAGCTAAGCAGTTAACTGAATGGGACCCAGCCTTTGCATAGGCTTTGGACTATAAATACAATGTTACTCTTCTCACTCCCCCAAAGCTTCACATACAATGAATCACCGATTTAACAACCAGCAGTGGGCCCACAGCTTATCAAGAATATTTATGCATTATATCCTAGAAACGTTATTCTAAATGATGAATGGTTTGCACCACCAGCCCTTGAAAGTCCCATAACATGTTTCCAGCATAGCTCTGCATAACCAGCATTCGTATGGAGGTTATTTCCCAGAAGAGATGTGCAGAGCCCACCAACTTGGGGTCCCAGGACCGTATCTCATCTCTCCCCATCCCAATGCCTCCTGAGACAAGTACCCCAACTTCAATAACCAACAGTAATTACCAGGAATCCTACATAACCGCTGAGTTTCCTTGGCTGGGGCAGCAGTCAGAGCACCAGGATTCCCAAGTGATCCAGATGTCAACACAACTCCGGCAAGGCTCATACGTCCATGACCTCGTTGATCACCTGGGCTCCTCTATACCAGCCCTCTCGTTACCCCCATGTTACAGGCAGAGACAGATGATCTTGCTCAGCCAAATCTGTGGAAGACCTTGCAGAGAAGAGAGAAGGGTGGTGGCACTTCTCAGAGTTGGGGTCCCTGAGCCTGGCTCTGCCCTCTTACTTGCTCCCAGGGTTCGCTGATCCACTGTGTGCTACCTGGGGCCATAACCCTTTCTCTACTCCTCTGGCCCTGAGCAAACAGGACAGCTCTTTTGAGATGTTCTTCCAGGGAGTTTTATAGTCAGGAAATACTATATCTTAGACCTTCCTTCTTTTATATTCCCTCCCTCCCCCC